AAATAACAAATGTCATGAAAACTATATGCATTTCTGCATTAAGCACTAGATCAATAGAGTAAATCTCATTAACTGAAGTGATAAGAACCTGTTAAATGTTACTCAATAAAAGATTATATATATTAATCTTAACTGAAGTCTACTAAAAAAAACGATTGAAAACTGGTGAGCAGCTATTTTATGGTATTTCAATAACTGATATGATGGAAAGAAAAGTCAAAATTCGGTTGATTTACTCATTATCATTTCTGGTTCAACATTACATCCGTTTTGATTCAATGTGATGATTATTGAGTGTAGTATTTGTTTTGTATTCCCATATGACACTATTCTGTATAACACGATATTCTTGTACTCAATGGATATGAACTATACACAGAATGTGATTTGTTATAACTCTACGTATTTTTTTCATAGATGTGATTTCATCTTAATTATTAATCAAAGTGGGTGAACAAATCAATATATAAATAAGTGTACGCTCGACTAGGGTCGTCGCCGTTGTTGTCGTGTTTTGGAGGTTAATAAATCTTCACTTATACCAGTCTTTGTATTCCTACTTTTGCGTCGTGGAAATTGCAAGGGTCTTTTGTTTCGAGTATAAGTGATAAACGATTCCGATAAAACAATCAGCGACGACCAGATATAACACAGTAGCATAAAAAGAGCCAAGACAATCAGCATTCAACTGACAAGTTATAACAATAATGTACTTCAAAAAGATCATCAGGAGCGAGAGAGATGAGTGAAAGATATAAAAATAACATTGTGTTTGTTCTGATAATTAACAAATAACTGAGTACAAATGAACAGAATGTGCTTTTACTATGTCTAAATTATTTTTAATACAACCTTAATTTTATGATTGACAACTCATATAATTACATTAAATATAATTTAATAACAATAATTTTTAACATGAAAATTATGGAAGGGAAGTAAAATTTAACAACGACTTTATTGTTAATGAATAACAAAAGTCCCTTTCTAAATGTTACAGTAAAGAGAGACGACAACAACAACAATAACTATTACTACAACTGAAGAAAGGAAGAAAAGAGAAAGAAAACTGACATCAATTCACTTAGATCAAACACAACATTAAATCTTTGTTATATTTGATGGTATGTGAGGGGTCGAACTCAAAAATTAGAATTTCATATTTTCAAACTTTCAATAACTATGATTCATATTATATAATCTTAATCAGTCAGTCAGTAACAACGTAGAACTTCGTACGTACATACAACAGTTCGAGTTGTCATACCACATTAGCACACAGATGTAGTTGTCGATTCAAATCTCATAGTGGTAGGGGTAGTAAAAGTATAAGCAGTAATCGGAAAGATTAAGGTTTGAATTTGTTATTCAACGGGTATAATCCAGTGAAATAAATTTGGAAAGAGAAAAAGAAAGAGAACATAAGGAATACAGAAGATTAGAATTTGGGAGAACACAAAGAGTGGATACACCTGCGCCGTTGCAAGCGAATTTGAACCATGTCATTCAAGGTCTCTAACCATCGATTGCTATCATCTCGCGGATCCCAACCAGGTGGTCTACACTTACCAACATGACTCAGTCCACTTGTCAGTGACTTCATGGATTTGTGCCATGTTTTGGTCTTGCTGCCCCTGGCTTTCTTCCAACTTACTCCTACACCATAAAACATCGCAGCCTTAATAAGAAACCATAATTCGGTGGGGCTATATGTTACTTGATATGACTGACGTTTACAAAAAACCTAATAATTAATTTATGAATAAATGATATTGTGTTCCTTTATGGATTAGTTAATTAGCAGTTAACGTATAGACATTTCAAATTCTAATCCGAGCTTAGTTTAGCTTGAATAGCTGGATAACAACATATAAACCATTCAATTTATGTAAAGGCTGGAATACTGCCCAGGAGCTCAAACCTAAGCAGGTGGTTTTCTTAGGGAGACACTCCACGACTCTTTGACCTAAAGGTCTAATCCACAAGTTGGTGGGGCAACATTAGGAGATGCAGTCCCATGGTAGCCGGTGACCAACAATAGGTTCGTACGCCATTTGTTCCCTCAGAAAATTGGAGACAATGTGCACCAGAGTTTTCAACTCCCCTAGGTGAATCCTCCATATCCACCAACCCGGTTAAAGCGCCAGACATTCGCTTTCCATCCTCTCAATTTCGTAAACATCCCAGCCGCGAAAAGGTAGTGGGTAGGATATCCTTGGCAGTGGCTGTATACGCGTGGTCATATGAGGGCATTTCGAGGAGAGCGGACTCTTCCCATCCTCAGCCGTACCATGGCATTTGGAGGCTTAGCACATAAATCTCCAAACCAGACTGATAACAATAGTATTTATTTACTAAAATAATTCATCAATTCAATTCCATACTGATGTTCACTTGTAAATAGTACTTTCTAGTAACATAGTATAAATAATTAAGCCAAAACAACACCATTTATTATACTATACTTCTAATATTCACCTATAAAGATCCTTCTTACTAAATTAAACATGTACTACTTATGTAATATGAGTTCATTTCGATCTTGTCCTGAAATTAATGTACTGTATACTCAGTTTGTCAAATTTAATTGAATTCATTGACAAAAGAACTTGACAGATACATGAATAGGTATGATCTATGATAGTAATGAATAATAATAAAACAAATCGTTCTTTTAAAAAACTAGATTCAGTTAGTTAGTTTGAATGCCCCCAAATGTCCTGGTACGGCCGAGAGTGGGGAGAGTCCGCTCTCCCTCTCGAAATGCTCTCACATCGCCATGCGTATATAACCTCTGCCAGGGAAGTCCTACTCACTGCCTTCTCGTGGCGGGGGTGTTGTTTACGAAAATGAGAGAACGAAAAGCGAATGTCCGGCGCTTTAACCGGATCCCAAACCAAATCAATGGTGCACATGGGCTCCAGAATCCTGCGGGAACAAATGGCATATGAACCGATTGTTGGTCACCGGCTTCCATGGGACTGAATCTCCTTACGATGCTCCACTGCCTTGCGGGGAGTGGCCCCCTAAGAAAACCACCTGCTTCGGTTTGGGCACCCGGGCAGTACCACAGCCGTCACACATATCGAATGAGATTTGTGTGGCGCATATGTATTTGGTGTCTCCTTGTACCAATATCTATGTGTTAAAATAAAATAAAATAAGTTAGTTTGAATGAAAGACAGCTAGTCTTATTGTCATCGACGTGCAACAAACAATATGATCCAACTTTTCTATGCACAGAAGTTAAAATCGAGTTAATGTACTCAACTTGAAGTTACAGTTTGCATGTCAGGGTACTCAGCAGTTTAAACCGAAGTTGATCAAACAAAACTTGAACTTGGGACCTTGTGGTTGAAAGTTGGATGTCTTAACCACTAACAAACATACATGACATAAAAAAACCAATTAGTCTTAAATTGTGAACTAATCAAATATGATCAAATTGGTATTTAAAACTAGTAAATCAATATCCAAATAATTGTTTATAGTTTCTTTTGTCAAACCGGTTTCTACACCTCATATAAGCACAAAGAGATGGAATCAAAAAGGTGAATAACAAAGGAATCTAAATAACAGTAATATCAAGGATAGTAATCTTAAACGTAAAGAATATGCTTCGAAAAGAAGGAATAAGATACGGAATCAAAGTGTAATTAGCAATACTGGTAATTAGGGTCTGAAAGAAAACAGAGTCAATGTATCTAGGTCACTTGAATCAAATTCGAATTACCTAACGAGTAATCACTATTATCACGCGAACACAAACCAGGTGGTAGTCAACAACTAGAAGCACCACTAAGATCAACAATGAGAGATCTCATGGATTGATACCGTGTCTAGCTTGCTTTTAATCTATTTCTACACTAGTCAACATTAAGCTTCGAGGTAAGTGATAGCTAGAAAATAAGTAGCATTTGTCCTAGACACCTCATTTGATGAAGATTCACATCTTCATCGCCATCTTTACTTAATAACCTACATAGAGACGGTAAATTATAATCCAAACTAAAGCATACAAATGACTACGAAGTCACTTAATCACAATTATAGATGACTCTGAACTCAGGTTTAACAATTTCATATCGATGTGCTAATATGATAATGTCAACTTGAAATGATGTACATATGTAGCGTTTAACTGACTAATAGTAAAGATTAAATGAATAACTTTTTATCGATCACCTCAAAAGTTCTGGTATAAATGTACAGAAAATTTACAGTTTTATGTACAATATAATAAACCAATGGAGAACAAAACTGAAAGATGTACAAGTTTCTTTAGTTCAGTACTAATAAATATAACCAAGATAATCCAAATCAAAGATTCTAGTCAGTTTAATTTTTGATGTTTTAATACCAGACTATTGTATAAATCACCATACTAACTAAACAACTGTAATGTTTGATCGATAGTATTTACTTGATATTAAAGATCAATTTCGAACAAAACTTTATTTATTATTTATTTTAACACAGATATTGGTACAAGGAGGCACCAAATACATATGCGCCACACAAATCTCATTCGATATGTGTGACGACTGTGGTACTGCCCGGGTGCCCAAACCGAAGCGGGTGGTTTTCTTAGGGGGCCACTCCCCGCAAGGCAGTGGAGCATCGTAAGGAGATTCAGTCCCATGGAAGCCGGTGACCAACAATCGGTTCATATGCCATTTGTTCCCGCAGGATTCTGGAGCCCATGTGCACCATTGATTTGGTTTGGGATCCGGTTAAAGCGCCGGACATTCGCTTTTCGTTCTCTCATTTTCGTAAACAACACCCCCGCCACGAGAAGGCAGTGAGTAGGACTTCCCTGGCAGAGGTTATATACGCATGGCGATGTGAGAGCATTTCGAGAGGGAGAGCGGACTCTCCCCACTCTCGGCCGTACCAGGGTATTTGTACAACACTAAACTATTCAACTACAATATAATTCAAAAGAACATAACTTTCATATGAATTTTCATTTAAAAGCAACAACAACAAAAATAAATTACCCAAAACCAACAGGATATACACTTGTGCTATAATCATTATGCAAATATTCTGTAGCATCATCTCTATGATTATTTTGTAACTGAGGTGAACGATTTCTTCTTCGACCAGTTCGATTTGATGCAGTATTACCATTAGTATTTGTACTAGCGCCAGAACCACCACCACTATCACCACAAGTTCGATTATTTATCCGTTGATTACCACAGATTTGTTTAACTAAGAAACGTATTAAACATACTAGTAAACATATAATTCCAATTGCTCCAATAATTCCACCTAATATTTTATACAATTGAAAATTAGATTGTTCATATGAACAATATGGAATTAGATTGGCATCAGAATCACTGTTATCACGATTCAAATGTATTTTTTCATTTGATTCACATTCACTGCATTCGAATACTGTATCACCAGCTAAGTGAATAATTAAAATAAGAGAATTGTAAAAAGAAAGTCTAACAATTTTTTGATCCATAAAAAAAAACAATTCCTAAATAAAAGGAAGTAGCTAGTCTACAAAACGAACAGAAAACTGGGTAAATCCCGTTATATTAATTTAGAGGTTTGTGAAAAGAAATATTGACAATTTTAAATCATGAACTGATTTTAGCTAGAGCACTATTGAAAACCTAGAAGAACTGGATAATTGTTTCGTTTTAATGTGAGACACCTTAACAGTGCGCATTCCAGACACCGAATACAAATCCTTAACCTTTACACCACTAAGCTGGTATCTAACTGATATGATGGGAAGAAAAGTCAAAGTTATTTTGATTTAATCACTATGATTTTTATTCAATATTAATTCCGTTTTAATTCAATGTAATGATTATTCATTGTAGGATTTGTTTCCGTTTTCCTATATGACATTTTATTTTGTATAATATACGATATTCTTGTATTAAAAATTGACCTGAACTATGCTCAGCATGACATGCAACATATGATCTGTTATAACCCTAATTCTTAATCATAATGAATGTACAATAAATATATAAATGAGTGTATTCTCGACTAGGGTCGTTGTCGTATTTTTGAGTTAATAAATCTTCACTTGTACTGCTCTTTGTGTTCTTACTTCCGCATTGTTGGCATTTTAGTGGTTTCTCGTTTTACAAGTAAATTAATAAGCGATTATAGCACAGCAATTAGCGACGACCCGATATAACAAAGATATATATATATGATTAGGTCGGTTTGTATAATAGATCAACATCGGATAACTGGCTATTAAAAATCAAGGAGCGATGAACATCCCACTATATGGTTCATTAGTAATGTGTACCTGCGAAAATACGGAAAGGATTCGACCAATGAACTTTAGGACTCTCGAGTACGAATTCAACGAATCATATTTCTAACTTCACTCAATTAACGATGCACTACACAATCATTCAACGCCTTTGATATGGTAGGTGCTTTCTAATATGAGAAAATTTAACTAATCAAGACTTCACATTGGAAGTTCAGGAATTCATCTCAAAATTAGTTACTAGTGAGCAGAAGATTGTTCGATTGAAAGCTTTGTAGAGATTAGTTTAAAATGAAGTCACACACTAGAACGAAACAGTTGTCCTTCGTTCTCAGTAGTTCCATGGATGATGTCAACCCCAAATGAAAGTTGCCTTACGGACGAATTGCCGTGAGTCTTACTGTAGAATTGTATGACAACTGTAGGCAATAATAGAGAAGCTCTTTACTACTCATTCACGAAAATGTGTTCACTTATTTAAAAAGCACATTTACAATCATTGATTTTTCGGATTGAAAAATGTATGTAGATAATCAAGAATGGAATGAATACTTGAAGTGGATTATAAGTAGGCTTTTCCAAGTATTTGGTCCGGCTGTTTCATTTTTAAAAGAGCACAAAATCAGTTATTATAAACACAGAGCTAGTAATTTCAGCATGTGCTAAACACTATTTTTAAATCCATGCGCTTAGGTATTACTCCAAACATTATTTGCAGTCCACATTGACAGATTACATTGGTGTATTCGTTATCAGTACTTTTAGAGACTAATTCCGCTAAATTTAGCCAGATGAAATATCAAGAAACAAAGAGTGGTTTGGGTCGGTGTATCCCAATAAGAGTGAACCCAAAATGGTGATTGCAATGAAAGTATGATTGTATATAAGACAAACACGTCCCATACTAGGGTGAAATGACCGTCCAGTACTTTCAGGTCTTCAATGATGGGTGTAACATTGACCGGTTTGTGATTTCAATGGGAATAATTATATGTTTTTAATCTGGCATTCACTATACCAAGCTCGACAAAAAAAATGAAGAAACCCAGAGTTCCTTTACTGTTCCTTTATCAAACAACTATAAATACGAAATTGCAGCTTAAGTAAATAATTTTTTCAAAAATACAATTTCCTTCGTTGGATTCTCTTTATCTGTTTTTAACTATGTATTTGAGTAGGGTTTTAGAACGAAATTAAAGTACATAAAAAGTAATGAGAGGGCGGATTTTTTGGTAGAGAATAGCTAAACCTTCCGAAAAGTGAAAGTGATTAAAAAAGAAGATATAAAAATGCACAAAATATCGCATCACAAAGTGTAGATTGCGTTCTCATACGAAATATGAAATCACAAAAGAACGGATGAAACATAATCAAGTATCAGATAAAGCTAGTGTCGGTGCTAAAAAAGTAATCAGTATAATAAAATACCGAGGAATAGAAACAACATAAGTTGTAGCTACGGTATCTAGACGTTTAGAGGATGAAGTTTCAGTTCAGTTTTTGACTATGATCCGGATAAAGCAGATAATTCAAAGGCTACAAAATGACCGTTAGGCCTCCTTACAAAATCTAAGTTCATTGGATGAACTAACCCTACCGCTTAAAAAAATACAACTGTTGTCAGAGAGAGTTCCTTTCAACATGATTGTAAACTGGGTGGAAAGAGGACATTGATATTTTCCACAAGTTATAGTCTGGAGTTGTTGAAGCAGTGTACTCACTAGTATGACGATGGAGTCGTAGAGAATCAAAACTCCAAAACAGCATTACTCAATCATTTTGAAGACAGATGGGTCAAGGAACCTACAAGAAACAAAGAGCGAAACTTTAAAAATTATACGGTGGAACGTCCACAGGTCCATTGTGGAAAATCTTCCTAAAAACAATGAGGTGAATAAGAGCATGTAAGCTTCAGCCCATTCATTTGTGCTGTTTACTCAAGCATTTGGTAAATAAGTGTTACTTTGAAAAAGGAACAAAGTTTAAATGAACTGAATAATGAACAGTCCCTTCTAGGAACCCAGGAACAGCAGATAAAAAAGAAGCGCAGGTAGGTGTGAACTGTAGAAGAGTTTGAGAAGATATCGATAATGGACTAAACACACCCAATAGAACACACAACTTGAATTCGAACATTCAGATACATCAAGTGTAAATAGCATTTACATCTGCATTACCAATTAGAGTGAAGCAGATGCACTCAGTTCTTATCCTCTTTCAGATCTTAAGCATCTTACAATTATTATATATTTTTCACATTTTATTTCCTTTGTTCCTACTGGGCTATAATTTTATGTATTTACTTTTGCAGTATTATGTTTATTCACTTGGTTTAGATGTTAGTTTTCTTATCGTCAGTGAGCGATGGCAGTCTAGAGTGATAAAGATTTGCACAAAGTCTTGATTACTAGGTTGGACGTTATAATATTGACTCAATTTCTAGAAACATATTTACGTATTCGGTTTTAAACCATACTTATTTGAGGGGTTAGAAACACTAGGTAGCCACCAAATTCAAGTACATAGAAAGGGGCGCTTTAACTACTGTGCCGCCGTTGCAAAATGGGTTGAAATTCCAAACTTTACATCACTTAATAAGACTTTGGAAACTAATTAGTCTTATTATCCTCAATACGAATAAAATATGGTTCAAGCAGGGCACACAAATCTACATATCGTGAATTATTCAATCAAATTTATCATATATTCCAACTTTTGGTAAAAGACAGGTTACAAAACCATGGGCAAACTTATTTTTCTGTAAGTACAATCACACAGGAAATCGAAATGACAAAAATAACTACTATTTTAGTCAACGAGAAATCATATTTCTACCTGTTTTAAATGCACCATGGGATTAGTTATGAAACGAATAAAATGAGTCCATAAATAGCTAACTTTTATATCTGTGGTATCACACATTACATACAAACGTGCATTACACATATATAGCTAATGACCTTATGAATTTGTCCTTAATCAAACTTTTTAGCATGTGGTACAAACATGTTGCATATAATCAAAAAGTGAAATAAAAAAGTCGGTCAGTCATCCACAACGTAGGACCAGGCACATATATGCATCGGTCCAAGTTACAATACATCATTAGCACAACAAGATGAACACTAAGTTCATAGAAGCCATTACTTCAATGGTAGTAATATATAGAAAAAGATTGCATATAAGAATATGATACAGAGAGAAAGGATTAGTTCGTAGAAAGAGAAGTAAAACGTTATTTTAATCTCATGGTTTAAAGGAAAACAAAAAGTGTATACACCTACGCCATTGTGATCGATTCTGAGCTATGTCACACAGAGTCTCCAACCACTGGTTACAATAATTGCCCGAACCCTAACCAAGTAGTCTGCATCTACCAACATAGCTCAGACCAGAAGTTAGTAACTTCAAGCACTGATGCCACATCTTGGTTTGACCTCCCCCAACTTTCTTACAACCGTCTCCAACACTAGTCAGCATTGCGTGTTATGATAATCGGTGGTCGAGTATGCGTAATACGTGGCCCAACCATCTCAGTCGATGTAGATTCATAGCCTCATCAACCGATTTACCATCATTCCTGTAAAACATGTTGAGACGTTAGGTATGATTGAAGTTACTCAATAGATAACCCTAAACTTCGATTACATTTAGGGTTTCTGTTAAATAGCCCCAGCCACCAGACACTACTAAAAACGTGTAACTAAATAAAAAGCAATACCAAGGCATTCTCTTACGATACACATATACCAACGGAGGCCAATCGACTAGAACCCTGAATATCAACAGTAGGAAAATAGAAAATCTCACTAATAATTTATAGAAACAGTTTAAAATGCAGATGTTCATTGTAAACTCCAGATAAAAACGAAAGCAACATACAAACAGAATACACACTAAACAATAAATCCTAAAATCTACCTAAATTATCACGATGACGACCAAATTCAAAACTAATTTTCGTATGTAACTGGATCTTAATGCAAATCAATAATCAAGAAAATCTTTACATATTATTGTAACATAGTTTATTCATGTAAATCATACAACTACAGTTCAAATCACTAACTCAATAGTTACAATCTCATTAAATATGATCACTTTATAAAAAGAAATAAACAATGTAATTGATTATTGGTGGGGGATGGGGTGGGGAAACGGGAGATGTAGAATCTTTGAAATACAAAGTATGAAAATGAAAATTAACTTTAAAATTCATATATTGATTTAAGGTGATTGTTGTTAAGTGACATTTCAACTTTCATTAAATAAATTTATTCAAGGTGAACTTTGTTTATTGATTTTCAATATGTTTTTTTTCTATTTTTTCATTGACTTATTCACAGTGATTATAAACTCTGTGATAATTACTTAGTTTGATACAATACAATCATTAAATACTTAATATGTAATTGAATAAAATTGAAGGTGAATTAACTTCTTCAAGGGTGTCGATCAACAAGGCTTTTACACAATAACTGGACTTTTTACTATATGTATATATGTATATATTTAAACACATAAACATAGGTACAAGGAAGCACTAAATAGATATGTGCCACGTAAATCATTCGATTTGTGCGATTTCTACTCAAATCGAAGCAGGTGGTTTCCTTAGAAGGCTACACCTCGACACTTTGAACTATTGATCTAATCCATAAGGCAGTGGAGCAACGTTAGGAGATGCAGTCCCATGGTAGCCGGTGACCAACAACTGGTTCATACGCCATTTGTCCCCTCAGGATCCTGGAGCCAGTCCATATGCACCACTGATTTGGGATCAGGGTTTCCCAACTCCCCTAGGTGAATCCATATCCACCAACCCGATTAAAGCATCAGACATTTGCTTTTCGTCCTCTCAATTTCAGTCAGTCAGTCAGTAACTAAGTAGAACTTCGGACGTACATACATCAGTTCGAGTTTTCATACCACATTAGTACAAAGATGCAGTTGTTGATTCAAATCACGTAGTGGTAGAGGTAATAAGAGTATAAGCAGTAATAGGGAAGATTAGGGTTTGGAGATGTTATTCAAGGAGTATAATACAGTGAAATAAATTTGGGAAGAGAAAAAAGATAAAAGGAAGAATCAGGAGATTAAAATTTGGGAGAACACAAAGAGTGGATACACCTGCGCCATTGCAAACGATTTTGAGCCATATCATTCAAGGTCTCTAACCATCGGTTGCTATCATCTCGCGGTCCCCAACCAGGTAGTCTACACATACCAACATGGCTCACCTCACTTGTCAGTGACTTCATGGATCTGTGCCATGTTTTGGTCTGGCCGCCCCTACCTTTCTTCCAACCTACTCCTATACCACTGAACATCGCACGTCTAGGCAGTCGGTGGTTGGGCATACGTAACACGTGTCCTAGCCATCTCAACTGATGAAGTTTCACCACTTCATCAATCGATTTGCCATCCTTACCTAGTACCCGTTTCCTAACAATTGCGTTACTTACTTGATGGTCTCAGGATATATGAGCAATCTGTCGAAGACACCTATGGTCGAATACTAGTAACCTACGAATATCCTCTACTCTTACCGGCCACGTTTCGCTACCATAAAGTAGGACGGAACGAACTGCTACGCAGTAAACACGTCCTTTGGTTGGTAGACGGATATCTCGCCTACACCATAAATGACGCAAGTTGGCAAAAGCTAGTCGAGCCTTCTGTATCCGTGCTGAGATTTCATCACACACCAGACCACAAGGGCTAATGAGACTTCCAAGATAGGTGAAGCGGTCGACACGCTCAACTACTTCACTTGGGTGTCGATGCAACCCAATCCTGAAGCAACATTTTGCATTTTGAGGGGGAGAATCGCATCCTGAACATACTTGCATTGTTGCTTAGAGTGGTCAGAAGACTCTGCATTTTGTCAGCGTCTTCACCAAATAGAACTATGTCATCGGCATATTCCAAGTCAACAAGTGAATCTCCTGATAGAAGTTCAACCCCTGGAAATTTATATGAGGAAAGTGTTATCTCTAAAATTACGTCGACGACAAAGTTAAACAAGAATGGAGAGAGTGGGCAGCCCTGACGAACACCACTCGAGGTAATCAATTCTGATGACAGTTCACCATAAGCTCTCACTCGACCAGTTGTGTTCGAGTAGAGAGCCTTTACAAGGTTAATGTACTTAATGGTACTCCTTTCAACGACAAACACTGCCATAGAACCTCACGATCAACAGAGTCGAATGCTGCTTTAAGATCGAGAAATACTACGATTGTGGGGCGTCTGAACGTGTGTCTGTGTTCTAGAACTTGAAGTAGTGTGAATATCTGGTCTGTACAACCACGTCCAGGTCGAAAACCAGCCTGGTTTTCTCTAGTCTGCTCTTCACGAGCTTTAGTTAGGCGTCGAAGTATTATTGAAGCTAATATTTTAGACAATATATTAGTCAAACTGATTTCTCTGTGGTTGTCACAAGAGGACTTTTGTCTTTTCTTATAGACTGGCACAATCATTGATTGAGACCAATCAGATGGGATTACGTTCAGTTCCCAAATTCTACCTAAGACCTCAGTTAATCTCACTGCTAATACTGAACCACCATCCTTAAAAATCTAAGGAGTAAACCTGTCAGGGCATGCTGCTCTCCCTTGTTTCAGATTTCCTATAGCTTTTTCAACTTCGTAAAGAGTTGGAGGACCTACATTAACTTGCCATTGAGGTCGACTGGAGATCGTGGGAAACCGAAGTGTGGCTGAAGGCCAGTTGAACTGATCCCTAAAGTGTTCTGCCCATCAATTTCGTAAACAGCAGTAATACCGCGAGAAGGCAGTGAATAGGACTTTCCCGGCAGTGGTTTTATGCACGTGGCCATGTGAGAGAATTTCGAGAGAGGGAGAGAGAGAGGTAGGGAGGGAGAGAGTTGACTCTCCCCACTCTCGGCCGTACCAGGGCATTTGGGGACGAAGTTATCCCATTTACCGTATTGAAGTTGGAGTTGTGAAATAATTCAGCTGGTGCACGAATGTATCACGAGTACAAACTTGACTTTGAAGCAAACTATTTATGAAAAACGTAGCGGTGCTACTACCTAGCTTCCTAAACCTAAAGGTAAGTTCATCTTTAGTTGGGTCAATAACTATTATACATTTGCTAAAATGAATTTTCATGCATCACTGACATCAGCTGACTTTATACCACGAACTGACTGCAGATAGACAAATGGTAAAAAACAAGGAAGTATTGAACAGCTATTTCATCCTAGTATGGGACTTCCTAGCAATTTCCACTCACGACCTCGTCAGGAATCGAGCCTAGGGCTGGTAGTGAGTATATCACATTTCGATTACTGAGTTGGTACTAAATAGTGTGTTGCTATTTTCAGCCAATTCGCAGCACTATCCGAACATTATACGATGATATTTGTTGCAAACTGCTCGCTTTTAACAGCACTGGACTGCACCGGTCACGGCTTCTTTCTTTTTGATTACAACCACTACATTTCAGTAAGCCTAAATAAATAAAATTCCCTCTTGAAATTGTGTTTCTATCTTAATGACTGATTGGATAATTAATTAGTCGAATTTCCTATAATTAGTTTTCATGAATGCCTGTTCCATACTAAACTGAATTTACGTTTGTACTCAAAGTCGCCGAACTTTTTATAAATTATTCACTGTTTTTTTTAGTATATAGCCAACCTATGCAGGTTAATTTCTCAATTACATTGGCAACAACCCAAGAACTCACAAAATCAACTGCATACAAACCATTATTCAAAAAAGTGAGAACACACTGCAGCACACTTGCAGCGCGGAAAAATATCTAGTGACTATTATTCAAAAGAACAGCCACCCACGCAAATTCATTAAAAAAATATATCAACCTGACTCATCAGCAACAGAGAAATCAAGTACAGAAACTAACAAACGGACCATCCTACCATATGTAAAAGACATATCAGAAATCAAAAGATTGTTGAAGCCGTTTGGAATAGGGGTAGCACAGAAACCAGTGAAACCACTCTGATCAATCCCATGCAAACTAAAGGACGAAATGACAAAAGAAAAACCGGACGTCGTCTACAAAATGAACTGCTCCAAGTGCGAAAAACACTATATTGGACAAAGTCGACGCCCTCTTCATCTTCGCCTGAATAAATATTAATTACAGATCGAACGCCATGACATATCTTCGTTTATATCAATGCATGAGGATAACTGCGAATAAAAATCCGACTGGAAAAATGTCGAGAACTTGGATAGAGGGAATACTAAAAGCACCAGATAATTTTTAGAAGCTTGGCACTCAGGTCAATCAGAAGTCAACAGACACATTGAAATCAACCTAATCTATCAACCGATCACAAAAATAACAAATAAATATAGGATCAGGAATCAGATCAAAGGGAGATACAACCAAAACGTTAATTCATGACGACTAATCAAGTAATTGACAGGCTAATGACTAAGATAGACGACTTCCAAACGGGTAGGTTGGAGATTCTAAACCCACTTCACCTAATTTGGTTTAAGGATACAAGCATTACAGACAGCACTTTAACAAAGTGTGATTTCAAGTTCAGTGCGTGGAAATCGTTACTTGGGAAACGAATTTCACTGATGATCAACTTAATGTAAACAAACAGACTCGTAATTCTTACATGCAATAAGCTATGATTACTTGTTATAATCAGTTGATAAGGAAAAGCCTTTTATTAAAAATAAATTTATAAGTAATGATTTTGACTAGTCGAGTTAAAATTGATGTTATCAAATAAAGTTAGTGTCTAACCGAATGATGGTTCATTATCTATTGGTCAGAGACTCCCTTCAGAAGCAGAAGGCACGACTGAAATCTAACAGTTGAAACAGTGCAATATGTATATTTAACTAAGTATTTTACACTTATTATACTGTACAAATTGGTCAGAGCTTAGTAAATAAAGCACTCACTAACTTAACAATCAAAATTCATCATGGTAAAAAGCATATAATAAATCAAACTTACGAAAACATTCATGCCGACTAACCAAACGGAATACATTCAGTAAGGAAACTGACTGACAATCACAGGTACGAAAACGTTGTTTTTCAGGAACAAGAATTTTATGTTGACCTTGTATTGTCTGTCGTACATATGCTCGACTAGGTTTTTTGGTATTATTTTTTGGTAGTAGAACACAGTTTGTAATCTGTGTGTCATCAACGACATGGAATTCTTCACGGTTTGACCAATATGAAGGATTCTTGTTTACAAAGCCTTTGAAGCACTTAGTTGGAGAGCACGGACTCCATGAAGACCATGGGCACCATTTACGTCGGACAAGCCTATTTCCATTATCATCAAAATCGTCCATTTCAGAATTTAATGAAGAGTTGATCATGAAAAATAATAGGATCAAATTTGTTAAACTGAGTTGAGCAAGTATTGGGATGTCAAATAAAAGTGAGGATACACCATGATTAAAAAAGATGTATTGGACAGAAGAGTGCTCAAGACGCATAGAAATGTCATCGGAATTCTAAAAAAGAAAATGATCAACTTCAGTACAATGGTTGCTAAGCAGAAATAGCAGCGTTTATGAAAGTAACAAATAATCGGAGTAACAGTCAACTCAATAAATTACTTACAACCTTAAATATAAGCTCATTCCATTAAAATCTAATTGTGTACTAACTGAGCTTCGAAACAGAGAACGTATGAAGTTATTTAGAAATGAACAAAAGTACACTGTGACGGCCCAGGAAGTGGTATACAGCATGTAAAACTAACAAAAATAGAATGTGGACCACTGGCTTAAGATTAAAAGCATTCAGCTTCTAACCATTTGATAGCAGGTTTGAATCCAACTACGCCCTCTTTGATTTAATCAACTGAGTAATATAAATAACTCTCAACTGAAATATGAAGGGTTAAGGCTGTACATAAAAATATGCTTGACAAATGAGTTATACTAACAATGATTTTAACGGGAATAAATATTTGGAAGAAATTCATTTCCATATAGAAACTTGCCCACTTCAAGGTATCTAGTAAGGTAGGGAAGTAATTGTCTAGAGTCTATTTCATACGTGATAAACAAGTGAATAAGGAAGCTCACACTGGGTAAAAACAATTAGTCAAATAGGATCTGCTTATGATGTTATCCACGTTTTCACATTGAGGCAAACAACGTACTGTAAGTTCTCATCCCCCCCAACATACTGAAACTGAAGTAGGACTCACTGACCCCAGCGGACATATTACTGTTGAAATACCCAACGTTAAAGTGACTGGTAAATGGTGCTAACTCTCATCAACATAAATATTTACCTATTGCAACGCTCTTTTACTCAGTCTAATAGTTTATGAATAACCAGATGACTTTTGAGAATGAAATTATCACCAAATGAGGAAAAATTAGTGATTAATTGTTTTTGATGTAAGTACTGAAGACAAATACTCTGTCTATTTCGGGATTTAAATCCCATGAAAGCATTTTCGGACAATACATACGCTGTTCTGGCGATTTTGGAGTTTCACACTCTTAGTACCTTCGTTTTATACTGATAATCAGGACCAGATTTCGTAACGAAACCACGGTATTAGCAATTATTTGATAAGTGTAAAGATTTTGACTTCATATTGTTTGATATTGTTAGACCACCTGAAACTTATGAAACATCAAGTATCGAGTAGTCAGTCAGATTACAATCAAGGTATAAGTAATTGGTGAATGACTATCATGCAGCTGATATATATATATATATATATATATATATATATAGTCGATCCTTTTGTAACTATTATAAACCATAAAATGGCATACGATTTCAAATTAACTCATTCACTAAATACTTGGATATGGGCCAAACTCCAAATATGAGGACTGTAGAAACCACTCGGTTGCCCAAACCGACGCAACTAGAACGGGGTTATGTCGTGAGGCTTAGTGGGCGAAAGTCGAACGCCTTAGCCATTATTCAGTAATATGGTACGATATTCTGGTCAAGGAACAGTGATACTTTTGTTCGGCGAGCCTGGTTGAGAAGATATGGTAATACTCAGACACGGAAAGCAATAATAAGCTTAAGTGAAACCTCTGACTAGAATTTACACCTTTGAAGATTTTTACGTCGATGTTAGAAAGTGAAAGACAACCTCAACAATGACAAGATACATGGCACGAAGTTAGATGGAACGCTGCTTCTTCACAAGCCGGTAAAAAGTGTAATACTCCGGACCATATTCTTTTAACTGACATGGAGGAAATAATAGAAGTCATGTTTTCCAATTACTGTAGATGTTTAAGGTCAGAGGACTACATATTTAGTTATAAGCACTATGCATTTTGTTTCAATACATTTGGAAAGTGCTTATTATCTCGTTCTCAGTACAACAATAAGTATTTGAATTGTAGCGGTATCTCAAAAAGACTTGTGGCAGTTTAATTTTGATTGTTATGTAGTATTTGTCATTAGTCGAAACTCCCCGGGGATTCACATTCTGAGATCTGAATTAGCGACAGCCACATTACACAAATATACAACATGAAACCATTTATTTAATTTTTTTAAGTGAGATCTACATGGACCTGCTACAGATTTTTAAGTTTATCAAGTCATCAACCCTAACACTGCTCCCCCAAGACTGATGAATTGAACTAACGAAGCGTGAAAAAGGAAATACTGACAACACATTCACTTTTAGGACCAAACACCACGAATGTTTTTTTGTTCCCAAGACTTCGAACTTGTCTGAACAGAAACATATGTATGTGCAAGATACCTTGCACTTGAAATCAAAAGCAAAATTCTAAACACGAGGCTGCAATTTAAAACCGTTGTTTTCCAAGAACTCAATAAACATAGGTTTATTAGAACATGTGAAACGTTAAGTTTGGTAAGACTGGTAGGTATTCAGTAAGCAATCTTATGTTCAGACGTGGGTGATGAACAAAGAAAACATTATAGTAAACCACCGCGAGCCGAAAATAATTGAAAGGCATATAGTAACACTTGCGTTTAAAACTTAAGTTAGGGTACAATCGAGTTACATTACTACAACGAACAAACGAAAATGCAGACGTTCAAAACGTCCGCTAGACGAACAATTTAAAATACCCTCTTAAAGCTTCGGTAATTTAACATCTTTGTCACAAGCTAATATAAACTAATTATTTTTCATTCATGTATCTCGATGTGGAAAACAGCTTCTGATCTCGGATAATGCATCATTCAGATGGCTGCAGAAATCAGAGTAATCATTTGGATTTGATCTTAATGTTTCATATGACCCATAAATACCTTCTTATCAATAGGTCACCAATATTTTTCAGTGGGACATTACAACTAAAACAAGTTCAGGTTAAGGAGTAGCACCATATAAAACAAACGACACTTTCCATAGTTGATATTCGTAAACTGTCGAGATTAACATTTGAACCAATGATGGTGTAATAAGAGTGACCAATCGAGTATGCAAGACACTGAAGTCATCTATGTTTGAGGATCCAACACTCGTTCTGACTGAACATAATCTTTCAATTTTTTCTCGTATCTGTGTGACGTTGAATCTGAGAACGTCGCATATGTGTGAGTTTCGTGTACAAAAGTACTGCATCATCAATAACTCGAATTATCGTCCTCCAGCATGCTAAAACGTGGAGGTGATGATATGTGTGTTTTGCTTCTCAAACTATTCGCGATATCACTCTCTTCAGCATGTTACCCTACTGCCTGGAAAACTACACATATCATTCCCAAAATTAAAACAGGACCTGAAGCAAACGTTGAAAATTACCGGCCTATAAACATAACTTCAGTGGTATCCAGAGTGATGGAAAAAGTAGTTAAGGCGGCTGTAGTCCAACATCTATTAACTAACAATCTCTTGTCGACCTCCCAGCATGGATTTCTTAGGTCCAGATCATGCGATACATGCCTAGTAGACTACCTGAATGATATAACTCTGAAACGAGACAGCGGACTCCTTGTATCAGTCCTATTCCTAGACTTTAAGAAAGCCTTTGATAAGGTCCCACACAAAAGGCTACTCGTTAAACTAAAGTCCTTCGGAATACACAACCCACTGTACTCATGGTTTGCTTCGTTCTTAACAGAACGTAAACAGATGGTAAAGTACAATGACTGTCTCTCGTCCCCTAGACCAATCACCAGTGGAGTCATCCAGGGAAGCGTATTAGGGCCACTTTTGTTTCTTATGTATATAAACGATATTTGTAACACCATAGAATTTGGGAAACCGTACTTATATGCTGATGATCTCAAAATAGTATACAGCTATAAGCCTGAGACACTAAGCGAAAGTGTATCCCAGATCCAAAAGGACCTCAATAACTTAACTATATGGAGTGAAAAATGGCAATTACCATTTAACCTCAACAAGTGCGGGATCATGCACTTTGGAAAGCATCCCTATAAACCGCGACTTCACTTAAATGAATGTATAGTCCAAACACTCGAATCAGTACACGATTTAGGAATTAATTACACAGGAAGCCTAAACTTTGAAGAACATGCCTCCTCTATTATTTCTAAATCTAGACGGCTAATTGGTTTTATAATGAAAAACTTTTTCACAACAGAGGGTAAACTTACTCTCTACAAAATATGTGTACGACCCACCCTTGAATACTGCTCTTTTGTCTTCTCTAATATGAATATCGCAGACAAGATAAGAGTAGAAGATGTTCAAAGACGTTTCACACGTCAACTACTAGGATGTAACTCGAATCTCGATTACACAGACAGATGTAAGCATCTATCTTTAGAACCTTTATGGCACCGTAGGCTAAAACACAATTTAATATTTCTCTACAAAGCGATATATGGGCTTTCCTTTCTAACCTCCTGCCCGACTATCACCCACGACCCAGCCTATAGACTTCGAAACAACGCATATACACTACTTACCGTAAAACACCAAAAACAAATGCGTTGTAAGTTCTTTACAGTACGGTACAGTTTATTGTGGAACAGGCTGCCAATGTCTATCCGTAACTGTGATACGTTTACCAGATTCAAAAAGCTAATAATCCTATTTCTAGACTCCAAAGAGCTTCAACATTACCTTGAACTCCCGCCCACCGATGAGGCACTTTATTACGGACCGCCTAGTATCTAGAAAGAACAAAATTATAACAAGTTCGACTGTTACTAATCTGAATATAACCAAATCACAGGATATATGGCTTATCCTTTCCTATTATTCATTGTTTATTAACCATGATTTCATGCTCCTAACCCTAGCTTTCAGTCCCCAAATCTCTACAGGTTAAATGTACATTATTCTTCCTAAAAGTCATGCTTTTTTTTTCTACTGCAAGTAGACAGATAGCTCAATCTTATGGATGCTGATCTACTAAGGCCGATCATTCAAAGCTCAAAATTTGGCCACAAAGTCTTGTGAGTTTCTCAATGTTTTATTTTTCTCACCCTAAAATCTTTTTCTTTTTTTTCTACAATTTTATACCCTCTCATATCTTTTGATTTACTATTAATCCTTACTTCTTTAAACCATTAGTTATTTTCATAGCAGTGTGATATACTATATGGACATCTAACCCATAAAACAGAATTTTTAAATATCTGATTTGCTTGTAACATGGACCTAGTAGAGACAGTGTATTCCAACTATGTGCTTTGATTAAAGCATTAATCATACTTATCACAAACGTAAGAGAGCCTAACATCACAAAAGGAGGGAGGGTGGCGTTACTGACCAGCAAACGTGAAGGTGGGGAGATAACTTCAATCCACCCATGTCTGTAGGGCAGAACATTTTGTTTAATTACGGCTCCTTATGGTTTAGTGGGATGTCACGGACTTAAGGTATTGAAGCTGATTTATCACGCAAAATACCTCATTAAATCGTGTTACGAACGTTGAATTGGTTTCACTTCCTACTCAGAAATCCTATTACAAGCAAACTAGACAATTCGCTAATATACGAAGCCTACTCAAGACCCTATAAAACCTGAAAAAAAAACAAATAAAAAAAAACGAAAGGGGCTCTAATAGCTTCGATAATAAAAGGAAGATAGCCAGTTGTATATCACAATACTGTTTCTGGCACTATATTTTATTTTATAATCACACATAATCTTATACTCTCAGCTCTTTTCCGAATCGCCTCCATTTGTCAGTTGTATGTCCACTCACACCTTGCTAAAGCTTATTTTCTTTAACCTATTAAAATGCTCTTTCTTAACAAATACCTTAATAAAAGAAAATTAGACTGAGTAATCATACCTTAAACATTCCTACATGAATATTGGCTACTCTGCCTCTCGTGTTTTCTTTTACTTGCTCCCTCTTTCAGCCCCCTTGAGATATGGAACAGGTTACTTCATCCTGCACCATCCTTTAAGCCTTGGATATCCCAAAGGGACATAAGGTTGCGATTTCTAGAAGCTCATACCTTCAATGGACCTATTCTTGACCATCAGTCGCACATTCGCAACGCAACTTTCGTGAAGCGCGCCAACTATAGTACTGATTAAAACAATCTACATTCATGTCTTATAAATTTTCAACCCAGCTATGTAATTTAATACAGTGTATATTGTATCATTTGTATCAATTTGATCTTGCCTGTAAACTGGCATGCCTCATGTAACAAACTGTTATTTGAGAATAAATTATTATTATTATTATTTTAATAAGCTGGTCTGAAAAATTCTTTAAAACTGGTCGGTTATCAGCAATACTAATGACTGATAGAACATGAAAACTTGTGTGGTGGATAACAACCCGGTACCTAAGTGGCTTTAGGAAATATTAACTCCTTATTTGCATAAATCTTTTCACACCATGCTATTCAAATTTCTAGCCTATAAGAATCTGGTTATTCAAACCCTATAAATTCAAATCAATTCCAGGACTTTGTCTTCGGTTTTTTTATTAGTTTTATTCTATGTTTTGACTGTCCCTGCTCATAAGACACTTTCTGTATCTGCTGTTATGAACCACATTGTAAAAGGTTGTGGTTACGGACACAAGATAATGTATGTGATCAAGTTAGGTTAAAAATCTAGCTTCTGGAAAACTCATAATGACATTATTTTCTAAATACCGTCCCATTTAAATGCATTTTTGCGTCAAAAATGTCTACATTATGTCTAATCTACTCCAGATTACCAATAAGTTCAGAGAGATCAAACATTTATGTTGAACCAAGATTCGTTTTCGTATCTAACAAATGAGAATTTCTTAAGTTCGGCTGACTTTATCTATGTATTTTTTTAAAGCGAATTTTTTTATTTCTAACTTTTGCGTTGAGTAGCTGACAGCCTGAGTGAGCTTTTGAAAATCGTACTTTACCAACATGGTGTTGAGCAACCGACTCGCAGCATTTACCCAGATATCCTCGTTTCATTTTCCTACATTCCATTCGCTAACTAACTCTGATTCCCACGTAGAGAGCACATTTAACAATTCATGTGGGATGATTTGTGTAAAGAAGGGTAATGCTACCGAGATTGAGTTAGTCAGGTTTAGGACTACCTTGAAATGTTGATTCAGCTGTTACCGTTACTGACTGTAAAATTAACAAGGCAAAACACTGAATTAGATGGCCGTTCTCCATCTAGCCGAGTAAACCGAACTGACTCGTTTCTATTCAATAATCTGATCGAACCAACATTCCTGTCGAAGGCGGTTCTAGGAGGAAGCTTAAGTTGGGTGGTTAATAGCTAGCCGAAAACATATTTTTAATGTCGAAAAATTAATGCGCGAGTATTTATTTACTTTTTATTTTGTGTCATTAATATATTTTTTATTATCTCACAATGAATGTTGAAACGACTGTGTGTTTAAAATTTAGAACCTCACGCTCCAACCGGTCCATTCCACAAAGTCAATAAAAATCTACTTAACCTGCTAGTCTGGCTTTTTCTACATATAAAATGAAGGGTGACTATCAGCGTTAAAGTGGTGGCCGTTCTACCTCTTTCAAAAGTGACCTAGATGTTCAGTTTAGCTCCGAACGCACTGAGAAAAATTACTGCAAGTTCTAAGTATTGATCACCTGTGTAATTAACTAATTTTTGATTGCTCGAAATCACGAGGGGCTTAAACACTAGCCCTCCCTTACATGCAAGAGGAAGACCATAAG